CGGGTCCGTGAACGAGGGAGGTGAGGACAAGGGTTTCCCTGTAGGGCCCGGGGATTTTCCGGTAGAGTATCGACTTTTTCTCAGAGGAGGGAGACGGTGTGACCGGGTTCCTGAGGGCCTTCGGAGTAAAGGAGGCGGCCTGCGGCAGCAGGTGCTTCACCGGGGTGGGAGTGCGGGTGTTTCTGAGCTCAGTAGAAGGTGGGGAGATAAATCCCACGTCTGTAAGGCACGGGTGGGGAGAGGGAGGTTGTGAGGTGATGGGTTTGGCCAGGACTTTGGGATTAGCACACTGACAGCCCTGAGGTGGAAAGGCTGGGACTTTTTGGCAGTAGGAGTTGGGGCTTGTGTCTCAGACACCCTGTTCCAAGGAGCACAGAGTCCCGCGTGTCTTGTTTTGCAGTTGAAGTGATGCTGGCTTGCAAACTACCTGTTTTACCATCTGTTTTACTCTCAGCTTTGCTGCTTGTCTACTTTTTGGAAGACTCGATCTGTTTGCCGAGCAGGCTAACCCTTCTCTGTGGCTTACCGACACCAGGTAGTGAACTAGTTGCAGGCTCTCATACCCTTAAGATGCGTAATAGAGCATGTTGCTTAAATGCAAAAGATGCAACCTTAAGGCCTTTTCAGACATGGAGCGCTTGACCCAACTGCTGAAGTAGCGAGATCTCTGCTACCATGGTTAGAAGAGGGATTTAACCCTTGCAAAAGGAAGGAGTGAGCGTTAGCCCAAGAAGCGGCAGTTGTCCTGCATTGGGTTTTCCCAGGCAACTCCAAAGTAAGTGTGTAACTTGGTTAATGTTATAAAGGCTATAGCATACTGTAGTCTAGTGATGTGTTGGTAGCAGCATTTATGTCTGGTGCTAATTGTTTGTTGTGATTTTTAGTAGGCATTGCCAATGGATGAACTGGTACATGACTTGGCCTCAGCCTTAGAGCAGACTTCAGAACAAAACAAACTGGAGGAGCTATGGGAAGAGATGGCCCTAAGCCCACGGCAGCAGCGACGTCAGCTTCGCAAGAGACGGGGTCGTAAACGACGCTCAGATTTCACACATCAGGCAGAGCATGCCTGCTGCTACAGCGAGGCCTCGGAGTCAAGCTTGGACGAAGCTGTCAAGGATTGCCGTGAAGTGCTGACAACAAATTTCAGTGACTCTGATGACATGGCCATGGTCAAACGACACCCAGCTCTCAGTGCCACCCTGAGGAGCAAGCAACACTCGTGGCATGAGTCAGACTCCTTTACAGAGAATGCACCCTGTCGACCTCTCAGGCGCCGACGGAAAGTCAAACGTGTGACATCAGAAGTGGCTGCCAGTCTCCAGCAAAAGCTCAGGGTGTCAGAGTGGAACTACGAGAGGGGCTGCAGGTTCAAGTCAGCCAAGAAACAGCGTCTTTCACGCTGGAAAGAAAATGCCCCTTGGACATCATCCAATCATGGCCTTTGTGAATCAGCAGAGAACAGGCCCTTCCTCAGCAAAGCGGGAAGGAAGGAGCGGATGGAGTGTGAAGCTGATGAACAGAAACAGGGCTCAGATGAAAACATGTCAGAATGGTGAGATCTCGGTTTCTTCCCTGTGCTAGTCAGATGGCCGTATTGCTCGCAGCTGCTTGTAAATCCTGTGCCTTGCTTTTAGAAGTTCTTACCAAAATTATTCAGTGCTGTTCTCTTTTTTGAAGAGAAGAAATATCTCAGCTACTTCTGAACTGTAGATTTTTTCCAATCTTTCCTGCCAATGCTGTACTAATGGCCCAAAACACTTCCTTGAAAAGCTGGCAAGCTGACATGTTTCTGGCTCCTGTTAGACAAGGAGCCCTCTGAAATGCCTGTGGCCCTGCAGCTACCAAGTGGCATGCTTGTGGTCTGAGGTTTGGCGAGTAAATCCACTGTTGGCACTTGTGTTGCGTGATTGATATGAACTGATCTCAGTTTCTTGTTTTCAGAATTTACCATAAGTAGTAATAGAGGACAGATCAGATCTCCCATCACAACTGCTAGCTCTCTGTGCAGGTACTGTGTGAACCTCAGTCAAAACACCTTGTTTGCAGTTGTGTAACTCTGCTCTGGATCTGGAATAAGGTCCTGAAAGGCTAGCTATGGGAGAAATGTAGCGAGAGGATAATGAAGTTGGGGGAAACTGAATTAATACTTAGAAGATAAGCCTGTGCAAACAGTGGAGTCTGGCATGTCTTCGTGTCCAGTTTTGGAGAACTTTGATGAATTTGTGGCAGAATCTCATACAAGAGATGAAAATGAAAAGCGTAAATGCAATTCACGGTCTGAATTTGTATGTCACTCTTGGGAAGTTTTCCTCTTGCGTGTGACTTTTATTCTTTGTGTAGAAGGTTTGGGGTTATAAAACTGCTTCTGTACAAAGAGAATTTTCAGGTTAGAAAAGAAACAGCTGCTGAGAGTCAAATGGAGGAGATTTCTTAATGAATGGCATACAGAAAGTGAATAGGGTTCTTTATTTGCTAATTATTATCGTGTAAGAAGCAAGAGTCACTGAGGGAACACTTAAAGCAAAAAAAATTATTATTTTTTGTAAAACATGAGGTTTGGAACTCTGTGGTGGGACATTTTGGAGGCCAAAAATTTAAATGTGTCCAAAAGGGGGATGTGGAACATAGATTTGTCAGGGGCTGTTAAGCATTACAGCCTAGATGGAAGATCTGGCTCAGGAAGTCCTTAAAGTGCTGACTGCTAGAAGCTGGATGAATATATAGAGGAAACAGTCGATCTGTATTTGTTATGTTCTCATATTCTTTCTTCAAGCATCCACTGTAATAGGCACTATTTGGAAAGTATAATTGTTTGATTTGGTATAATTCTTCATATGTTAAGGTTTACTTAAGTGTCCTGGCTTTCTAGCTTCTGCAGTTGATCAGAGTGGACAGGTGGCATTGTAGTTATTGAGGGCTTTGTGGATAGTAGCTGGTAGCATAAACTTCTCAATGGTATTTTTCTGGGAGACTGTGAAAAGCATAGGTTGTAATACGTCCTCACTGTTGCGACCCAGGGGAACATTATTGAATTTTTACTGAATCAGTGTGGTTTGTATGTAACTGTTAGAGGGTGGAAGTAGCAAAAAAGCGGTCATATTTTTCTTTAAAAAGTAGCTATTTGCTTAAAAAGTGGGTGCGAAGTGGGGTTTTTCAAGAGACTAGTGGATGCCTTTTTGCTACTAGTTGTTAAAAGCCCTTTTATTTTTTCAGAGCTATTTGCTGGTAGTCCAGGAAAGGGAATGTGCTGAGTAGCCCCTGAATGTTGCGTGTCAGTGGTGATGGACTGAGAGATACCCTTACTTGATGTGGCAGTGATGGACGGTGTTCCTTGATGTTTTTTTCCCACCAGTCAGAGTCTGTTCCATCATTCAAACTTGAATTTAAACCAGCAGGCTTTCATCCAGCCTTTATTTGTGCCAGTCTTTGAAAGAATAAGTAAACAGCTTTGTCCGGACTGTTACTTGAAGACCATGCTGGGAGATTGCTTTGTTCTATCTCAGTTGTCTCTTGGTTTCCAACTAATTATTGTGCAAGTGTCTGCATCAAATGACATTTACAGTCTGCTGCCAAATCCTTGGGATTCTCTTTGGAAAGCCAGAGGTTGGAATATTTGACCTCTCCAACACCACTTGTGATCTGTGCTATGACTCACTAGGAGGGTCAAAATTGGAAAAAGAAATACGTACAACCCTCTTCACTGCAGAGTATCCCTTGCAGCAGTGAAGGATCATGCTTTGGTCTCTGCTGCTCTAAATATAGCACTTTGCTGCTAGCAGCAGAGTGAAACTTGCTGTGCTTACCTCATTCTCACTCTGCTAGCTGTTTTTTCTGGTACCGTAAGAGAAGTACTTTGCACAGATGTATAACAAGGGCATATCCTGAGTAAGGGAGAAGAAAATTGGATGCCTAGGAGAGCGAATGGCATGGTTGTCATCACAAGCTGATGGGAGGGAAAGTGACTGATACAGCTTGTGGGACTTGGAAGCAGTCTGTGGTGATACAGTGATTTACGATGATACTAGATACTGAATTGGTTCCACTACTGTTTACTCATCTAGTAGAGGGGAGTGGCACAAAACTAAGTGTTTTTAGGCAAATTAAGTTCTATATTCAGAGCTGATTTTTTTCACCTTCTTTTTCCTTCCCTCCACTGACACTTGCTTTTCTTTGTTACATAGGAAAGAATCTCTGTAAATGCTAAAATATCCAGCATTTTCTCTGCTTTCTAGATGGCTCCTTATCCTAAGTCAGATCAAAACCCTACTGTATTCAGTAGATGAACTCCCTCAGTTTCACTGAGAAAGCTTTGGACATGGATCCTTAAAGAGGAGGTAGTTTTTATAGTTTGCTTGTGGGACTGCACCCAGTCTTTTCCTGGAGGAAGATGTCCTGCAGTATTGTGATTCAAAGTGTGCATGAAATTAAATCTTTGAAATTATTGCCAAACGTGGCAGATGAACACAAATTGAGAGAAGGAAGGATGTGCGGGAACATGATGAGGGAACAATGGTGGTTCTAAATTGGGTAATGATGTGACTCAAAGCCCGACATATAAACAATTGTGGAAAAAACAGAGGAAGCAAGTGGTTTTAGTTTAAGTAGCCATTTGTATATTTGTACAAAGGTGACAATTAACTGCTAAGACTGTTAGAAGTAACATGCCCTTCTGTCCCTAAATGCTTTGAGATTCCCTGCAGCCATAATAAAGCGAAAGCAAATTATATATTGAGTGCTGAAGTTCTTTCTCTTGGTGGTCTAAGCTGAGTACTCCCAGAATGGTCTGGGTTTGGCTTGAAAGCAGAACAAACCATAGTACAAGAGCTGTCTGAAAAATCACTTTGAATGATGTGCTTACTAGTCAGAGATGTGCAGTTTGTCTAATCTACTCTCAAGTGCCATAACTCTTAACATGGCTTTTTCAAAATGGGGATTGCACTGACTCACCGATGCTGTGTGACTTCACTGGCTTAATGCTGATGTATTTGTTGTGGTTTAACCTGGATAGGCAGCTAAGCCCCACATCTTCACAGTGGGATGAGGGAGAGAATCAGAAAAATACAAGTGAGAAAATTTGTGGGTTGAGATAAAGTCGGTTTAATAGGTAAAGCAAAAGCTGCACACACAAGCAAAGCAAAGAATTCATTCCTTTCATTCACACCACTTCCCATTGGCAGGCAGATGTTTAGCTGTTTCCAGGAAAGCAGGGCTCCATCACGGATAACAGTTACTTGGGAAGACAAATGCCAAAACTCCAAATGTCCCCCTTTCCTCCTTCTTTTCCCCAGCTTTTATTGCCGAGGACAATGCCGTATGGTGTGGGATATCCCTCTGGTCAGTTGGGGTCAGCTCTCCCAGCTGTGTCCCCTCCCAGCTTCTTGTGCACCCCCAGCCTACTCGCTGGTGGGGTGGCGTGAGAAATGGAGACGGCCTTGGCACAGTTTAAGCACTGTTCAGCAATAATTAAAACATCAGCACATTATCAATACTGTTTTGATCACAAATCCAAAACACAGCAGCGTAGAGCTACTATGAGGAAAATTTTAACTCTATCCCAGCCAAAACCAGTACAGCATTCCGGCCTGGGAGTGTAACCAGTGCTCATTCTGAGTGTGCAGTACAGTCGCTTTACCCTTTGGAAGGGAACTGTTTCGATGACAGCCTGCAGTGGCAGTGAAGAGCCTGGCTAAGCTGATGAATTGGAGGCCAGTCTCTCCTTAAAGAAAAAAATCTTCTCCCTTGGAAGGCAAGTGACAAAGACAGAGTGTTCAGCTTCCCCTCTTTCTGCAGCCCAGTCTGACCTTCTGCAGCCCCTCGGTGCCTCTTGTTTTCTTATTTTTATAGAAAATCAATATCCCTCCTGACACAAACAATAGCTCAGGCAAAAGAATAAATGGGGGAAACCTGAGATCTCTGTCCATCACCTCTCACTTTAACTCCCCCAAACTATTTAATTATAAGCATGCTTTGCTCCAGGTGTTTGCGACAGTGAAATTGCTAAATGAGGACCATTTTAACCAAAGATTGGGTGATCAATAACACTCTATAGCAGTAGCTTGTCGGATCAATAGCATTTATTATTTCATGGTTAAGGTAAGTAGCCTCCTTTGCAAGTGGAGGTCATTAATCAGTGCTTACTGGACCTGCAGAAAGGCTTATGTGGGAGTCTAGTTTGTGTTCAGCCCTGAAGTGTAAAAGGGGTGGTGAAGAGGGTGAGATCCATGAAAGTCCGTTCCAGTAAAGCACTGGCAGTAATGTGTAACTGTAAGGAATTCAAGAGCTCTCACTACAACAGAATGCTAAAAGTACTGTTAATATGATCTGGAATCGTGACAATGCTTTTTCCTTTCTCAGGCACCTTTCCTCTGAGGATGCTAAAACCCTTATGAAGCAGTCACTCAATCCGTGCATCTGCTGGTTGTGAGGACTATTAATCCAGGCTTTCATAAGGGAAAGCAGACACGCTAAGAGATTTGGGTCATACAATGAGTTGGTGGGAGAGCTAGGAATGAAGCGAATGACTCATGGTCCTTGGCCTTAATTGCTATGGTGTATATATGGGAGGGTGAATGGATGGCCAAACTTTGTCATGGATTGATTTGGAATTTGATACTAACTTACATAGTGAAATGTGGGAATGATGTATACAGACTGTTCGTCCTTTAAGTTTAAATGGCCTGTTAACAATGATGAAGAGGCAGAGTTTGTAGATATCCACCATGATGAGTTGATTTGGCTGCACTTTAGAGTGTGTTTTCTAAGAGCAATAATATGCTCACAGAATGGGGTTTTGATATGTGCCTGCAGTTCTTTGGAGTGACCCATCTTGTGATCCCTCATCCTTCAGCCTTTTGAATTGAGGGATTTCCAGTTGATACTAGTCTCTAGTATGATCCAATTTCCCTGGAAAAGAGAAAGTCAGAGATGCTTTCTAATAACATGCCCTGATCAGATTGATTCTGGTGCTGAGTTATACCTGATGTTCACATCTAAGGCTTTAGTTGGCAGTAAGTAGTTTCTACTTGTTCTGATATCTCTCAGCTAAGTATTGCCTGAAGTGTCCAAGGATTGATTTTAGTATCAGCATTAAAACCATCAGCTTGGGACTGACCTGAGCATGTACTTCTGATACAAATATTCATCCAGCTTTACAGTCAATTAATGGCTTTCTACACATTAATTTCTAGTTTAATTCTTTGGTTCAAGAATTAAGTCTCCTGTAACTGCTTCAGCAAATGCAAAGCATGCTGTAATGAGGTTGCATTCAGCAGCAGCAAGTCACACTGCGCTCAGGTACTTAGCTGAAGAGCTGTGAATGTACCAGCTGCTCTTCCCTCCAAATAAAATAAAAGTTGCAGTAGATTGAAGGGAGGGTATTTATGTGACCCAAGGACAGAGTTTTTAACTGCATTTAAGCTCCTACCGAGTATTCCAGGCAGTGTTGGGTTATTAACTCTAGTACCCGAGGCAAATGCCATTGTATTAATTACTTTTTGATAACTTAGAACTAGACTAGACACAGGATTCTACTCTTTTTCAAGTGATGCAGCATTGCTAGATTTTAATTGAAAGTAATTATGTTCCATGCTAGAGCCAGGCATGTATCTGAAATGCAATTTCTGTGAGATATGTAAAGCGTTTTGGGCTCTGAGCAGCTAGTGAAATGTAATAAAGTGGTTTTTGTTTTGTATCTGCTGCAATAGTAACAATAGGGGGTTTTGTTTGTTTTTGTTCCAGTGAAACCAGCAGCGTATGCAGCAGCAGTGATACTGGCCTGTTTACCAATGATGAGGGTCGCCAAGGTAACAATTGTCCTGTGATTTTCCTCATGGGTTGCTGGAGAATTTCTCTTACTTTCTTTACAAAGATAGATCTATGTTTGAAGAGGGGCAGAGAGTGAAGTGTGGGAGAAGGGCCAGTGGCTGGGAGAGGCCAGAAGTTAAGAAATGAACTGAAGGCTACAAAGGTGTGATTTTGATAACAGTACACTCTTCC